GGCTTTTCACTTAAACATTTGCATAAACCCTTGGCTACTCAGCTGAATTTACTCACCAGGATTCTTAAATCCTAGGGCAAAGAACAGGAGATGATTTTGCAAATCACTGGTTAAACTCTAGTAATTATTTACGTCAGAGGCCACAAAAGAAGGTCAAATTTTCTTCTTTGCCATCACCTCCCATTCAACACTATGACATGGTGTTAGAAAAACAACCCTATCCCACCCAAAAAGAGTAAACACAATATTGGAAAGTCTGACAGATTTACTTGGATTAAGACTAGCCTGGGCTAGGAAGCTGACCAGACTTTTGACATGCTGAGGGCTTCACAGGCAATTTACCAGGTGCCTTCAGGCCCTAGTAGTACACATTTGAAAACAAAACAAAACAAACTACACTAAAATAAGCCACATACAAGCTATGTGCTTATTCTTTCTTCCTCCTCCTTGATGGGAAGAAATTACTCCATGTTTGAACTGGACAGCAATAAAAACCTGCAGCTGATCAGTTATTCACCCTGACCTCACATTTATGGATGGGGGAAAAGGCAAGGAACACAGACAGTATTTTAGGACATTTAGGATTGGGGGTTGTATGTGGCACTATGGATACACTTTGAGCATTCTTCTGTTACAGGATAGCCTAGAAACCAGTTACTTTATCAGGTTTGTACTTAATCTCCCAATATTTTTGTATCTTTTCAATTCATTGGGTGAACTCTTGATCCATCCGAAATCAGTGAGAATGTTGCCACTGACTTCAATGGGGCCAGGATTCCACCCACTAGGTCAAATTCATTCCTGACACAACTCCATGGAAACCAACGGCATCACACCAGAGATGAATTTGGCCCATTTCCTTTGGAGGCCAATCTCAATAGAATCTTAAGCCAAACCAACAGTGACAATAAAAGGAAAAACACTGCAAGTATAAGGGGATTTATAGTGAAAGGTAGTGGTAAGGCCAATTATCATGTGCTTAACCAAAGGCTTTCAAGAGAACAATTGATATAGAAGAATGTGACTAGACATCAACTCCAGCTCAAATTACAAATTACAGTTGAATATTTATGATTATTTTTATATCATGTATATGGGTAGAAAGGGATAGGGAAATAAACACAACATAATTATTCTGTAATTCACATGTCCCTCCTCCATAAGAAAAAACTGGCACCACAATCCAAGCCAAAATAAATAAAAATCTTACCCACCGCTCCTTGAATTTAATGATCATACATTTACTTTACCTCTATGAGCACCAGTTTTCTCTTTGATTTCAAGGGTCTGATGTAATCACAAGCATTACACATCTATTCAGCTTGTAGAACCTAAGGAGAAGAAAGTACATGGACGCCTTCCTGCCCTCCTCCTTTTTTGTATGCAGTATTGTTGTAGCCACGGGGGTCCCAGGATATTAGAGAAACAAAGTAATATCTTTTATTTGACCAACTCCCATAAGTGAGAGACAAGGTTTTGAGCTTACACAGAGCTCTTCTTCAAAACCTGGAGAAGAGCTATATGTAAGCTCAAAAGCTTGGATCAACAGAAGTTGGTCCAATAAAAGATATTACCCCCCTCCTTTGTCTCATCTCCTTTTTTGTCTGCTAATACCACTAACTCCTAAAAATACCCAGATGTGATCTTCAGCTTTCCATGAATGCACTGGGGTAAAGGTCCTGCAGCCTTTGAAAGCAAGAGATGAAGAAGAAACATTTTATTGCAGGAGGACCCATAAATGCAAGATGTGGGATTCACTGGTGGTTACCCCCAATGACAAACACAGAGTCATGAATTGAATACATTTTTTGAAGATGATTTACAAATTCAGATAACCCATAAGGCCTCAACTGAAGTACTGTCCCCTGTTCTGGGTGCCATGCTTCAGGAAAGATCTGGAGAGTTGTCTAGAAAACATGACCTACAAGGAAAATGGGTTTACTAAGGCCTGGTCCCCACTAACCCCCCACTTTGGACTAAGGTACGCAAATTCAGCTACGTTAATAATGTAGCTGAATTCGAAGTACCTTAGTCCGAACTGATCGCGGGTCCAGACGCAGCAGGGAGGCTCCCCTGTCGATGCCGCGTACTCCTCTCGCCGAGCTGGAGTACCGGCGTCGACGACGAGCACTTCCGGGATCGATCCAGGATCGATTTATCGCGTCTAAACCAGATGCGATAAATCGATCCCAGAACATCGATTGCCTGCCACTGGATCCAGAGGTAAGTGTAGACGTACCCTTAGTCTGCAGAAAAGAAGACTGAGTGGGGACATGATAGTTTTCAAGTACATAAAAGGTTGTTTTAAAGAGGAAGGTGATAAATTGTTTGCCTTATCCGCTGAGGACAGGACAAAAAGTAATGGTCTTAAATTGCAGCAACGGAGATTGAGGTTAGACTTTAGGAAAAATTTCCTAACTGTATGGGTGGTTAAGGTCTGGAACAAATTACCTAGGGAGGTTGTGGAATCTCCATCATTGAAGGTTTTAAGAACTGGTTAGTCAAATACCTGTCAGGGATGGTCATAGAATCATAGAATATCAGGAGGTCATCTAGTCCAACCCCCTGATCAAAGCAGGACCTAATCCCCAACTAAATCATCCCAGCCAGGGCTTTGTCAAGCCTGACCTTAAAAACCTCTAAGGAAGGAGATTCCACCACCTCCCTAGGTAACCCATTTCAGTGCTTCACCACCCTCCTAGTGAAAAAGTTTTTCCTAATATCCAACCTAAGCCTCCCCCGCTGCAACTTGAGAACATTACTCCTTGTTCTGTCATCTAGTACCACTGAGAACAGTCTAGATCCATCCTCTTTGGAACCCCTTTTCAGGTAGATGAAAGCAGCTATCAAATTCCCCGTCATTCTTCTCTTCAGATAATACTTAACCCTTTCTGAGTTCAGGGGAGTGGACTAGATGACCTACCGAGGTCCCTTCTAGCCCTACCTTTCTGTGATTCTATGCAACCTTTGCCCGTGCATGTGGCATGGACCTTCCAAGATCATCCATGGGTGCATTCCGGATTGCCTTTTCTGCAGGCTGTAGAACATATGTGGTTACATATACACAGGTGAACACTCTCAAAGTTAAGTTATTTCTCACACAGAATTATGGCACTTTAAGCAGATGATCTTTATAACCAAAACTGCAGTTTGCAAGTTTGCTAGGAATTTAAACAATTTACCATTTTCATTCTATTTCAATCACCATAACACCTGAATTCACTGTGGACCACATACTCCCATGGTCTACTATCCCAGACTTCCATGAGAGTTTTGCCCGAGTAAAGACTTCGGGGTTTAGCCCTAAAAGGCCTGTTTACACTACAGAACATTACCCCTCCCAAAGGATGGGATGAGCGGGTAATCACGGTTGGCTGAACAAGAGACTTAGTCCACACTGACCGCTAAATCATGTTCAGCACTGTGTCAACTAACTTGATTGTTGGCAATTGTGTTCAGTCACAGTAGCATTCTGTAGCGTACACCTGGCCTAAGGAGCTTACACTTTTAATAGTGCATACATGTGGGTGTAGAACGCACTTCTTCCTAACTAGAACACCTCAGGAACCTTGAACGGAACACAGGAGAAAGCATACTTTGGAGCTGCAACTAATGAAGCCAATACATTTTTAAAAATTATAATTTTTGTTCTGACTAGAAAAAAATAAATTAACAGCCAGTGGAAATTTTTCAGCCCAACCAACAGATTAACATAAATAATTTGACAAATCATTAAGAACCCAATAAATACAAATACATCAGAAAAAAGACAGGCTGTAATATCTCGTGTCACGACAGAGAGAGGCTATTTGCCGAACCAAGTGGCTATGTAGAATTCAGGAATCACAGGAAGGATAATTGGTAACCAGGCACAGATGATTTGTGCCCTCAAAGGAAGGCTTGTTGTGAGCAAATCCCTCAGCACCTCCATTCTCCCAAATTCACAGTGATACCATTTCCATTGGACATTTCAGCCCCCAGTTCCTTGTAGCCTCAGGAACAAGTATGAGACTCCACTGTGTCCAGACCACGCCAGCCCAACTGGTCAGATTTTCCAGCAGTGTATTTGTTAGGCACTAGGCCTCAGGACAATGAAGTCTGTTAATCACTCTGTCAAAGCGCTGGTAGGGAACTAGGACAAAGGGGTTGATTTTATTTAAGTAAGTGTTCACAACTTATCAATTCATTTTCCTCCCCCTTTTCTCTCCTCTTCCAAACACTTAATCCATTTGGAGATCCACAGCAGATTTGTGACGCTTAGCTTTTTTGACAGTTTTGATTAGGGATGGATGACTGCCCTGCTGCATGCTACCAATAGGTGTGAACTGCAGAAAGGCAAGTTGGAGCCACACATCAGTTCAGTCACCTCATTCACTTTGCTTTAATGAGCTGCAAAAGAGACCCTCCGTTTAGCAGTGCTGATTCTTCCCCATCTCCCCCCACCGCTCCTTGCATCTCAGTACCCTTTGGGGGAAAAAACAGGGTTTTTTCACCTAAAAGACTCAGGGAAGTAAAGGAAAACAGGCAAGAAAGCACAAAATTCCACCTGAGTTAAAGAGAACTTGATTTACCACCCTCCAATGTTTATGGCTTGATCCCAGTCAATGTCAAAATGCCCAGCAATGGTATCATCCCAACATGGCAGGGACATCAGTGCCAGCTAACTGGTCCCTGCCCTTCTGGCTCTGTCTTGTGTGAAACAGATTGTCAGAAATTTTGCCCTGGCTTCTTAAACTACAGAGCATTTGGCACTCTGTATAGCCCACATTGCAGTACAAATGATGAGACACCTAGAGCCTTTGAGACAAAGATGAGGCATTGATCTTAATAAATATCACCTTCCAAAATTCTAGATAAAGCAACAGGAAAAGGCTGATGAGAGTTCTTTTTTAGTTAAAGTTCTAATGTGAACCATATTCATAGAAATAAAATTTCCCCCATGACATATGAACATTTCAATAGCAGATCAAGATTTAAAATTAAAAGAAAGCAATCTCTACCTTTACTTCTACCTATAGATAGGAAGTTGTGCATCCAGTTAAGTAGAGGTACGGAGGCGTGTCCATCATGGAGGAGGCAAGTGAAAAGAGCAGGAGGAAGGATAAAATATAAGGTCACTGCGCACACTCACAAAAACAATAACAAGAACATAAAACACACACTGCACAAAAACAGCACCACTCAGTAAAATAGGAAAAGGGAAAACACATCACAACTAAACAACAATGTGATGCTTAAACAATGGACAGTGTGACTAGCCACTGTCTGTTTAAGCTCTTTGGCTTTGGTTTGATTTTCTACAGAGAAATGCAAACCGCCCATGCAATAGCACGTCAATGATACACATCACTCCACATCAAATGCAAAACAGGGACAACAAAACATTAGGCAGGGTAAACATCTTGTGGAAATATATTTGCTAAATATTTTCCACATACCAATAGTGGAGTGAGATGAGAAATGCTGCAGAACTTCTCCGGGCACACAGTGTTTGTATATTACATTGACACAGCATATAATATATGTTTATACACACATGTACTTTACACATGATAATGTATATATTATGCACATATATACAGTAAATACTTATTAGAGTGAAATGATAGAGAATTGGTTGGCAAGAAAAGAGCAGCCACTCTTCCTTGATGTGAGATGGATAAAGGATGATGGCCTGTGATGCCAGAGCTCAATAGCTTTTAGACTATTCACCGGGCAAGTAGCTATGGACAGAGTTGTGGGCCATGATGCGGGCCGGATTGGGTCATGTGACTCCTTACACCAACCAGGTTTCAAATTGCAATCTAAAGACCAGGTGCATCCCTTGATATAATCATTTGTACTGTAGGAAGAACAGATCATGTCCTAAATCATGTACATCCCCTTTAAGACATGGAAATGGTTAGGTCTCCTCACAAAGTCCACTTTCTCCAGGCAAATCTGATTAACCATGAGCCTTTCCAGATATTAGGTTCCAATTTGTTACCTCTTTTAAACTCTCTGATGGCTGGATATCTTTTTCTAATCTGGGCAACCAAAACTGTACACATTACTCCAGAGGTAGACTTAAAAAGCCTGTATTCAGAGTCAAACTAATGTTCACTTAGAAACTTACTCCCTCTTTTATGCATCCAAGCACCTGCTGGATTTTTCTGCTGAAGTTTGGATATTGGAATGTTGTGGCTTACCCTTGGGTTCATTTCTTCAGCAGCTTTGCCTAAGTCATTAACTATTTCATTACTGTCTACGTGAGATAGGAATCCATCTCCAGTGCCACTCCATCCTTATTGAGCTTCTTACATGCCAATGAGAGGTTGACACTAAAACACTGACACAGTCCAAAGCTCTACAGAACCACCTCCCCCATCCTATCTCTCTCTCTCTAGTCCCCATATCGCAGCCCAGTGCCCAGGATGGGACCAGTGAACCCATTTTGCCACAACCAATAGACAAGTAAAAAATGTGTAACAAACTCCAGGCTGAGCTATTTAAATATGGACTCTGATTTAGGCCTAAATCTTATTAGTAGCCCTCACTGGGGTTAGCCCATTTCATTTTCCAGTGCATTTTGTTCCTTGCATATTTGAATATTTTAAGCTGCAGATGTAGAATGTACAGACCATTATATGTAATTTTCTACAGGGTGCATAATGAGCTAGAATTAGCATGTTTTTGCAAGAATTTTGCTCTGGAGAAGAAAAAAAAAAAAGCAAACACTGAGGGCTGCATTTACCAAGCAGGGCTGAGAGTTATTACAGCAAGCATCAAAAGTAAGGAAGGAGAAGAGAAAAGGGTTGTGATGGTGCATGGAAGGGAGGCACATTTCTCCTTTCCTCCCTTTAAATTTATTTTCATTTGTTTCTATCCCATTACAAGCATCATGGTTTACTACAGTCCCCCAAGAATCTCTGCCCTGGGCACTGGTAATGCCGCCCAGGTTGGCAAACAGCCATGGGTGATGGGAACACAAAGGGGGTAAAGTGCAAGTGGCTTGATTAACAAATCCATCCTCTGCCATGGACCAGGTTGCCTTCTGCAAGCCAAGCCCAGTCCAGAAAGAAGCATAGATCATCATCATCAGTAACCATTGACTAGCCAGGAAGGGAAAGACAAAGAACTTACCTTGTTCACTCATCATCAGGTGTGAGAGGCCTTTGAGAAAGAGAGAGAGGAAGTGAGAAAGAAAGAACACAAGAGAAAAGCAGAAAGACAAATATACATACACACGCATGTTGATCGATAGATACAGATCAATCACTTATGCAGTCCAATACCTCCTGGTATTGGAGATCACATACTTGAGATGAACTAAGTATGAGTATCACACTATGCACACACATCTATTCCATAGCTTCCCATGTCAGGCAGGAAAGCTTGTGTCACAGCTAGAGAAAGTCCGATGCCAGTTGCAGAACTGTCCATGGGACTAGTGATTCAGAAGATACCACATACAACTGTGGTTAACTGAACTGGAAGAACCTTGGCCTGTGGTGAAGCTCACCTGTAAATCTACAAGGGGTCACTCACAAACCTTGAAGATCGAAACCAAGGACAGCCTCTACAACTGGACATTAAGAGTCAGTGTTGTGGTGGTTAGCAGAAGCAAGCCCAATATACTACCATGCTAGCTGTTGATTAGCCATTTGTGCTAACTGCGTGTACACACACAGTTGGACTCATTCATGAATGTGGCAGCGTCAGCACATAATTTTAAAGAGTTAATAGTCACCTGTCAAACAATTAATTAAAGCCCAGCAGACCAGCTTCAGAGACAGATCTCCCAGGGGCTAGAAAAAGGAATCTCTTACCCTATTTTCAGTACCAATCCTTTCCTATTCCTTTCCCTTAACTACTGGAGATTTGTCTCCAAGTGGCAATGTGGAGACTGCCTTGAAGTTATTCTCTACACTTCTCAGGGATAAACCAGCAAGAGGTACAGCCACACTTCAGTGCTGGAGATGGGGGGGACATGATCACATTCATTTAGCCTCCTCTCCTCCTGTGAGCAGCACTTGGGTCCTCTTCAAGAGCTCTATTCTGGTATTCATCCAACACTACTGCAAAACCCAATTAAAATCCACTTTGGGCCCAATTTTCAAACATGTGAGGTGCACAACTGCATGCATAACTTGTCTACACAAATGCAAACTGCACCTGCAAATCTGGTAACTAGTGTATGCACATAGCTAGTTAGAAGTCTAGGTGGCCATTTACATTTACAGTTAGCCAATTCTGCACCACACACAACTAACACATCTAAAACTGCAGTCCAATTCCAGCTCCAACAAGCTCATCTCAAACCATCACTGACCCCTCCCCACTTGCTTTCTTGACCAATTCATCTCTTATCTTGACTCCTTCTCCCCATCTCTTACCCTACCCTGCACTGAGGATGTTTCAGACTCAATGCATGCATGCATGCACGCACACACCTTTTTAGCTCCCTTCATTATGGAAGTCAAACAACGCTACTAATGGTTCATTATTTCAGTGGGACCAAGATGTCGGATGAATCTATTAGAATGAAAGATTTTTCAACAAGCAGCATGTTAAGTTTGTATTTATTTATATCTCTTTCATAAATTTGTCCCTTGCCGTGATGCAGGAATCTAAAATCCAGATCATCCAGAGAAAATGTTCACCCAAAGAGAACTCCAAGCCAGATAAGGGGATTAATAACTGTAAAGTCTAAAGAATGCAAATATCTGAATGTTCTAGGGAGATTACTGTGGATTTAGAAAAATAATCAGAAACACAATATAGGTTTAGCAAACAATTGTTTAATTTTTTTTTACTATAAATATACATAGCAGATTTGTTTTGATGGAACATATTTCTGTTTTTAAATTAAAAGACAATTGACTTATATAATTTTATGCAGTTAAGGCGGTAGTGTTGGGTTTGTGGATACATGTATGGTCACTGGCACCATTACTTTGGAAGAGCAAATCTCTTGTCAGCTCAGATAAGTGCCCAAAATATTGTCCAACCCAGGAGTAGATCAAGATCCTTAGGAATTATGATTTGAAGAGGCCTTGAAGCAATGGTGAATCAGTGAACAACAGGTGGCATGACACACAGCTAATGGCTATCTACCACAGGACCCAGGGTGGAGACAGGACCTGGTCCTCAGCCCATCAATTCATGTCAGAGAAGGGAGAGGAAGGCAGCAGCTGGGATGCTGATCGATGCACCTGACATGCAGAGCACAAACTGTTGGCCATCTGGGGGTGAGGGACATAGTTCGTTGGGGAGTTCCTTCCAAACTTTTGGTGGAGGTATTGCCCTCTTTGGAATTATCATCAGAAAGGTTCCCTAGGAAGATTTTCAGCCCTTCCTGATTCTGCTCAGATCCAAAATACAAGATCAGCCTCTCACATAATATTTTTGTCCTTATGTTCCAGTCCCAGTTGGGCACAGGAAGCCCAGAGAGCAATGTAAAAAGTAACAGGCCAATAAAGAGTTGCTACTATTTTTGAACCAGAAGGGAAAAAGTTTGGTTTGAAGCTGTATGGGAAAGGTTATTTTATCCCAACTGATTTGCCCATCTGAAATCCTTGCATAGACCCTTATGTTACAAACAGAAGGCCAAAACTTTCCCAACCCAAACACGAGATCAGATATTAATAATGAATAACTGCTTCCCTCATCTGAAAAACTGAATCCCATGTCATCAAAGTTGGGAGAGTACAAAGTAAATGAGAGATCTCAATCTGCCTCCAACCTACCAACAACTCCCAGAACCTTCAACCTGCAGAGCCCTAATCTGTGACACCAACCTTTTTACATGTGCCGTAGAGACTACAAATTAGTGACACTAAAAACAACAGAGGCGGAAACTTGAAATGCTGTTGAGGTCCTTTCAGATTTAACGTTTTTGGTAACCTCAGTTTCAAGTTGCTGCATTTGTTACATCAATTTATAAGACGTAAAGAGCAAGGTCACCCCAAGGTCATGTGGGACAGAGCTAAACTGTGGTCTAAAATGGACAGGCATACCGCCAGAAAGTTCATATAAGAGCTGTGAGAAACTTGCAAGCCTGAAAGTCAGGCCAGGTTTTACCACAGCTCTAGCTATGTATCTATTTAGAAAGCAACCATCTTTGTGGTATCTAAGCACCAAACTCAAAAGCTAGAGAATCTTTCAGGAGACAAAGACTGAGTTATGGTAGCAAATGAAACCATCAGGCCATGCTCCTGCAAGCCCTCCATGCACACAACTAACATTGATGCCAATGGGAGTTCCATGCATGGAAAGCCCTAAACGAAATTCTGAGGTTTTACTGGCTTCCGCCCAAAATGAGGTCAAACTTGCACTATTTCAGCCAAGTTTCACTTTCAGTCTCTGGTTTGTTCAACCAGAAATTCAGTTCAAACCCTGAAGGCTGCAAAGCCAGGCAAGATAAAACTGGGAAAAGGTTCGCACAAACCCATGTGAACCACGGTGGCCAAGCTTTCACAGATCCAGTCATTATTATGATGAAATATTTGTTGAGCATTGACAATGTCTCAGCACTAGGTTAGCGCTTGTTAATATCTCCTCGGCTGACTGAACTTATATGAGATCCAAACTGAGACTGGCATAAAAGGGAAAATGTATTTCAGAGACTTGCTTAGGATTACTTTTGAATGGAGAATGAGCTACAAAAAAATGTAACTTCTTCAAGCTTGGCTCCAAGAATTTCCATACCAGTTGAGACCAGGAATCCAGTATCTTGCCTCCTACAATGGCTGGTAGCAAATGGTACAGAGAAAGGTGCAAGAAATCAGTTAATGGAGAGTTATGGAATAACCTGCCCATAGAGGAAGCTTATTCCTAAACCCAGGGAGTTAGTGGTTCTCCACTTATGAAGTCAAGATGCGAGTGACAGTGAAAATCGCAATGCTTCTTAGGAAAGCTCACATCAGCTTTCTGTACTGATGATCTAGAGCAGCGAGTTAAGCTTTTGAAGCACACAGTGAGTCCAAGCCTTTTGAGAGTCACCTTATATCAGGGAGCCTGAAGTTGACACTAGTCCACCTGCTTGGAGCAGCGTTTGATATTGCAACAATGTCACTGTGGTCTAGGACAGATGGGCCTAAACTGAGCTGCTGTTATCTTAGCCATGATCGGTGCCTGTCTTTACTATTGGTTCCTGTTTGGGCTGGGAATGGGGATGGGGGTTAAAACCAGTTACAGAGTCAGTTACGATTTAAAAGGTTATTTTTATCTGGCTAGATCTCAAAGTAACATTTTTATGAATTAAAATGTTTTTTTTTAAATGAGTGCACTGTTCCGCTTTCCATATCAAAGTCGAGAAATTAAGTGGTGCTAATTGCACAAAGTGCCAAGGGCCGACACTGGATTCTTATGAAGCCATAAGGACATTCTTTAAAGTAGCTTCACAGTGCAATTACATGAAAGAGCAATGTAATTAAACAATGGCCCTCGTGTTTGAAGACTTATTAGGGGCACTTTGCAAGGGGGTTACACGGAAAACCTTGGCACTATAGATTTTTTTTTTTAAATTACACTTGGGTTCTTAACACTCAAGACAGGGGGAATTAAAGCCACTAAACATAAAGAGGTGGGGGAAGGGTACAAAACCCAGAGTAAAGTGACAACTGATTGATGCAGCAAAAGAAGATGGAGTCCTTTTGTTCTAGTTAATTATAGCTTGTCCTGTTTTACTGGGCCAGTGCTGTGGGGCCGGGGTTAAGGGGGGTGGGGAAGGGGGAAGTTGATTCCTTTATATTGGCTGGAACAAAGAGACCGTTAACAGGGATCTAGGGGAATTGCTGCATTAAGGCCAGGGGCCTCAATTTTTACCTTTTAATGCCAGTGCCAGACTGACAGCCCCAGAGTCAGTCAGAAGCACTATATATATATATAAAGAGAAATACAGCATAGGCAGCAGCACGGCAAGTGTCCATCAAGCCCACCCCCACCCCACGCTCCCCAGGAGGGAGACAGGACTTCACTTTCTATGGCCCATTCAACCGACAAGGGGCAATGGTAATGTGTGCATGAGGCAGGGGTGTTATGTTTTCGGAAGCCCCTCTGCTCCAGGATGTTTCAGTAGCTGTTACTGAGCTCTAAGTAGAGCTCACATAAACCAGGGACCCTAATAAAAGAGTTGCAGCTCCTGCAGGAAAAGTGTGCTCCAGTGAGCG